GGGGCCCTGCTGGGAAAGCCAGCAGAGGGCACTGCAGGAGCTGGGGGACTTCAGAATAGTGTGGGAATCTCTCTGTGTGCTGAATGGGGAGCACAGTGGAGACAGGAAAAGAAAGGTGGTTGACCTTTCCTTTGCTTTTTTCTAATTCTCTTTTTTTCACTTTAATAACTTCTTTTTAAGTTATGTACTGACTACTCATACGTCCTGACCCCACCTGGCCTTTTTTCATCTTGATACATGTTGAGGGATGAGCAAAAGTATTACTGTACTTCCTTCAGGACATGAGAGAACCCATGCTAGCTCCACCATTTACTGTGACCTTTGGCATTTCATTTGACCTTTTCAGGTCTCAGTTTTCTCAGTCATGAAAAGGGGGTACTCATAGAACACTGTCTCTTGGCATTATGAGGATTTAAGGAGATAATAAACCTAAACATCTGGCAAGCATAGTAGTGTTAGATATTTTTATTAGTTGTATAAGTATTATTAAGTGATTCCTTATGAGTGAGTCAGTATTCATTCATTCATTCACCCAAAAATATTTATTTGGCATTTACTGTGTTGCTAAAACTCAAGTAGTAACTATGAAGAGTTAAAAATAAAGGTGCTTGCCTCTACAATCTTAACAGTCTGATGAAGATCCCAAGTACCTGTAATAATACTCATTATGGAGTAGTGGAAGGGGCACTAGAGGAAGGGGCTCAGGAGACCTGGGTCCAGTACAGGGTTGTCACATCAGGAGAAAGAGATGTAAGGTTACTCGATGGCAGAGGATGTGGAAACCCTCAGAGATAACTGCATAGTGCAGGGGCTTGTGCAGCATGCTCCAAATAGAGTGTCTTAATCCCTGCCAGGGATGTACCTCTGCAAGTGATGTGACGGTGGGGGAAGGATTCTGCCCTCTTGTTCCCAGAGGGTTTTTACTGTCCGTTTCTGACTGTTCTAGAGACTGTATGTTTTTCCTCTTACCCACTCATTGTTTCAGAACAACCCAAGCATTTATATTGAGGCTGGAAGAGGTAAAGTTCTGTTTCCCAGGCATACTATCTGTTAGCCCTCTCAACCTTAGGTCTTCCTGAGATTCATTCCCAAGTAGTTACAACTCTTGCATTGACAGCTGTGTAGGATTAGGCCTCAGAAAATAAACATAAGGCCCTGGCTAGTTAGAGTGTCTTCCCGATACACTAAGAGTGCCTTCCCGATAACACTAAGGTTTCAGATTCCATCCCTGGTCAGGGCACAGAAACAATCAGCCAGTGGATACATAAATAAGTGGGGCAACAAATCTGATTTTTCTGTTTCTGTCTGTCTCAAAAAAAACCCGCAAACCATTTAAAAAACAACAATACAAATTCCATCATATGTAACATGTAGCACATATTTGCATTTCCTCAGGGTCCAGTTAAGGTTCATGTATTGCATTTAGTTTTAATTTTACTATTCAGAACACCTCAAAACTGGAAACTACCCAAATGAACATCAGTGAAATTAATAAATAGGTTGGCATATATTTTTACACTGTAGTACTACACACTGGTGAAAAAAAATGTAGTGTAACTGCAGCTACACACCATGATATGGGGGAAATCTCACAAACAATACTACTGAGCAGAAGCCAGAAACAATGTGTGAATCAATTATGTGAAGTTCAAGAACAGGCAAATGTGCTTTATGGTGATAAAAGTATGGATAGCATGTTACCCTGAGGGCAGGATATAGTCACTGGAGGGGGGATGGGAGAGGAATTTCTGGAGACCAGTAATGTTTCTTGAACTGGATGCTGTTTACAGGGTTGTGTTCATTATGAAAATTCTTTGAGCTCTACATTTATGTTTGGACACTTTTACTTTCATGAAAAGTTTATGAAACAAAAGAATACATCAGAGGTGATAGCTGCATCCTTCATATTTTTATCAAATCAGGAAGCATGTACTTTCTGTTTTCTTTTTATCTTTTAATGATCTTGCCTGAAAGGACTTTTTTCCCATTTAAGTACCACTTGCCATTTCTCTCTTGGCTTATTGGCTTACTATTACCTTTTTTCATCTTTTTTCTCTTCCTTTTCCTCTTGTTCTATAAACAATTGTTCTGTTAATTTAGAGAGGGTGTAAGAGGGATCAGAGGAAGGGTTTCTAGAAGGGGCAAGACATTTCAGTAGCATTCACAGGCATTTTGGTTCTAATAAAGATGCTACAGTAGAAGTGGTCTGGTATAAGAATGTCAGTCACAGACTGGGTTCATTTGTTCATCCAGCAGTCATTAAGCATCTTTCCTGAGTCAGTCTCTGTGCCAGGCTCCTAGGAGACCCAGACTAATAAAACAAGGCTAGGCAGAGGGAGCAGTGTGAGTAGGGACGTGAGCTGAGCAGGTGAATAGAATATACGGAGAACTGTAAGTAGCTCACCATTGCTGGAATAGGTTTATAATCGCTGAGGAAGGCAAAATGTTTGGATGGATATAAACTAACATTTATAACCAGGTCATACATAAGTAAGTACAGAATAAACAAAGTGCTAATTGAATACACAGGAGCTGAAGAGACCCAGGGTAAGAGAATAATCAGGGTTTGTTTCTTAGAGGAAATCACTAAGTTAGATTTTGAAGGAAATAAAGTCTGAATTAGAAAGTTAAGTGGGAAGACATTAAAATCTGATAGACTGTTCTGTAAAAGGCATGGCATTTGTCTTAGTTCAGGCTGCTACAACAGAATACTAAAGACTGGGTGATTTAAACAACAGACATTTATTTCTCACAGTTCTGGAGGCTGGTGCCAGCAGATTTGGTGTCTGGTTAGGGCCCTCTTCCTAGCTTGCAGACAAACCACCTTCTTGACTTGTCCTCATGGCAGAGAGAGGGAGAGAGAGAGAGATCTGTATCCCTTTCTCTGTTTTTATAAGGGCACTAATCCCATCATGAGGGATCATGGCCACATGACCTCTGTGTTTGTTTATTGAGAGAGAGCTCTGGTTTCTCCCCACCTCATCATAGCAACATACTGAGGCTTAGGGCTTCAACGTGTGAATTTGGGGGCACAGACATTCAGTCATCCATGACAGAGATGGAAAGAAGTAAAGGCTTTAGGGTCCAAGAAAGTAAAATGTATTGAGGTTGTTGATCAAAGGAAAAAAGAATGAATTAGTTCTACCATAAATGTGCTATCTTTTTTTATTTTTTATTGTGGAACCTATTACAGATGTCCCTCATTCCCTGTCCCCCTCCTTTGCCCACCTCCACTCAGGCCCCACCACCCCTCTGGCCTTCCCCACACTGTTGTGTGTGTCCATGAGCTATGCATATACGTTCTTTGGCTAATCTCTTCACATTTTTTTATCCAGTCCCCCCACCCTTCTCCCCTCTGACATTTGTCAGTCTGTTCCATGTATCCATGCCTCTGGTTCTATTTTGTTTGTCAGTTTATTTTGTTCATTAGATTCCACATATCAGTGAGATCTTATGGTACTTGTCTTTCTCTGACTGGCTTATTTCGTTTAGCATAATCATCTCCAGGTCCATCTATGCTGTTGCAAAGGGTAAGAGTTCCTTCCTTTTTTATAGCTGCATAGTATTCCACTGTGTAAATGTACTACAGCTTTTTTATCCACTCATCTACTGATGAACATTTGGGCTGTTTCCAGATCTTGGCTATTGTAAATAATGCTGCTATGAACATAGGGGTGCGCATATTCTTTCTGATTAGGGTTTCAGGTTCCTTAGGATATATTCCTAGAAGTGGGATCACTGGGTCAAAAGGCAGTTTCATTTTTAATTTTTTGAGGAAACTCCATACTGTTTTCCACAGTGACTACATCATTCTGCGTTAACATAAATTTACTTTATAGCTGTTACAGAATCAGTCTGAATCTCCTTTGTCCCATAGGCATTGGGAGCAAGGACAAGGAGGCCAAAATCCCGCAGGCAGACCTCAAGGGGGCACTTGCTCAGGGGACATCAGAGAGGTTTGGGGAAGCTGCCTTCCAGAGCCCTGAGCTTGGAAGAACCTGTGAGCAAGAGCCTGGTAACTCTGTGGGAAACATGCCAGGGCCGCCGCCTGCCCAGCATGGCACCCCACCCGTGCCCAGTGACCTCAAGACCCACAGCTCCTTCTGGAAGCCTTTTCAGTGCCCTGAGTGTGGAAAAGGCTTCAGTCGGAGCTCAAATCTCGTCAGACACCAGCGAACCCATGAAGAAGAAAAATCCTATGGCTGCGTTGAGTGTGGAAAAGGGTTCACCCTGAGAGAGTACCTCATGAAGCACCAGAGAACCCACCTGGGGAAGAGACCCTATGTGTGCAGTGAGTGCTGGAAAACCTTCAGCCAGAGGCACCACCTTGAGGTCCACCAGCGCAGTCACACGGGGGAGAAGCCCTACAAGTGTGGGGACTGCTGGAAAAGCTTCAGCCGAAGGCAGCACCTTCAGGTGCACCGGAGGACTCACACTGGGGAAAAGCCCTACACCTGCGAGTGCGGCAAGAGCTTCAGCCGGAACGCGAACCTGGCCGTGCACCGGCGAGCGCACACCGGGGAAAAGCCGTACGGGTGCCAGGTGTGTGGGAAACGGTTCAGTAAAGGGGAGCGGCTCGTCAGACACCAGAGGATACATACGGGGGAGAAGCCCTACCACTGCCCAGCCTGTGGGAGGAGCTTCAACCAGAGGTCCATTCTCAACCGGCACCAGAAAACTCAGCATCGCCAGGAGATCCCTGTGCAGTAAGGGTGCCCTGTGGAAATGCATCTTTGTTTGCTAATACAAGGTGCTGGACAAGGTGGGACCTTCCAGGACCACCAAGTGGAGGGAGACCTTACTGGAGGATGTCATTCATCTTTACTCACTGAAGAGCTTTGGAGGGGATGTTGCGGGGTAATGGGGTGCAAAAAGACACCTTGACCCGTTTTCTTTCCACTTGTTCAAAAGGAATAGGGCAAGGCCGGATTTATTTTGAGTTCCCAGAGAGCACAGCTTCTTCCAAGTGGTGCTAACAGTTTTTCTTACTGTCTTTTGGGGAAACGATATCCTGGATTTTAGTCCATGTTTAGGTTTTCTCCTTCAGTGGGATATTCATATCCACTTCCTGAGCAAGTCTGGTAGTCAAGGCAAAATTTTATCTGATGTTGGCAGCTTGAACCTAATTTTTTGAGGTCTGTATTGTGCCTGCCAGGATACGGACTCTGTCTGCTGCCCTCTCCCCCACACTGTTTTCCATTGAACAAATATTTATTGAACACCTACTATATGCCTGGTACTGGGAATAAAAATGGTGAATGAAACAGGTGATATCCTGTTCTCCTGGAGCTTGTGACTTAGCACTGGAAGCACACACAAAACCATTAATTAATATGTTCTAAATCATGTTTGTGGTGAGTGCTGTATGAGAAGATATTCTTGTGCTCACTCATTCTGCCCTTCTTGCTTGGGTGCTGGGTCTTTCCCTCCCTTGTGGGGATCACTCAGGCAGCCTTGTTTATTTTACTTTATTTGTAGCCCCTTTGTAGCATTCTACCCTCATCTGTAAAGTTTTTCCATTCCATTTCTTGTACTATAACAACTGTCCACATGTCTATTAGGAAATTAATATTTTGCTATTGATCACTGAATAAACAGAGTATTTTTAAAAAACATTCAGTTCTGTATAAAGATCTAATAAGTCTGAAAGGTGAACTAGTATTAATACTCTATATTTGAAGGCACCTTATAGTATATAAAATGCTTTTCTCTGTGTTCTCACTTGATTAATTTCCATATATACTTATTGAGCCCATTAGTGTGCCAGGAACTCTTGTAGGTGCTTGAAATATATCAGTGAATAAAATGGGAAAATCCCTGACCTTGTGGAGCTTACATTTTATTGAATCTATTTGATCTTCAGAACCACCCAAGGTGGAACCCATGGATGCTCCCACGAACCCTCTGGACCTGGGATGTGAGCCTGTGCCTTGGTCCTGTCAGCTTCTAGCCCTGCAGTGCATTTGCCACCTACCTTTTGTTATTGAATAATCTCTGTCCTCAGTGCATGTAGATTCTTGTCATCTGAGGTGCTTGGGGTCCTGAATGCCAATTGGAAATGACGAGGCGGTAGCAATCTATTTTGCATGAGTGCCAATTTAGGAAAAATAAAGATGTTTGTAGGCATTTAAAAAACGCATTTCTTTAAAAATGAGAAGATGCAGTATTTGTATGAGTGTTTAAGCTTTCTTATATTATTTTGCCATCACTAAAGGATTTCCTTTCTGTTTGAAATTCTGGAGACTGCATAATTTGCATGGACTACATTGCAGTGTTGTAATTCTGTGCCTCTTAACGCTGGCTGCTGAGTAAGTCCTTTGTGTACTATAATTGCAGATGTGATTTGTCTCAAGATGCCTTTAATATTATTTTTTTGGGATTTTCCCCCCATTTTCTGTTGTAAATAAGATAAATGGTAATGACTTCAACACAAAGAGTTGCATTACTCAGTCCATTTTGAAACACATTACTTTATCTGTTTATTGGCAGATAGTCATCGTGTTTAATTTTGATTTAGCAAATGACCTTCTGGCCCTTCAGCTGTCCCGAAGAGGCTGCACTAACGAGGATGTATCTGCCATGTCTACTATCTGAGACACTGGGCTCCTGCTACTTCTCAGCAACATCAAGGTCCAGATGCAAAATCAGCTTGTTTTTCCCCACTTCCCAGACAAGCCAGACAAAGTTTACAGCCACCTGGCAGCCAAACCCAATGGAAGACTTTTCCTAAGCCTCTAGCTTCTGGTCTGTAGGACATGAGAACTGACCTGGCCTGAGTTTGGCTTTCTTCAGGAGGTCCATATTCCAAAGCTGGGTGGGAGCATGGGGCCACCATGGGCTGGCAGTTGCTCATCAGTGGTCTTTATGTTTACCTGAATTAAAAAGATCCTCTTTGATCATACACTTAGCCAGATAAGTCTCTGGGTTTTCAGCCAGTTGGGATCTCTTGAGGGAAGCTTCGATAGAAGTCAGGCCTTGCTGCCTTTCCCATTTGGTCTCCCGTGTCTGCTTAGAGACCAAAGCTTATGGGCAATGCCTCAAAAGTGCCTCAAAAGAGACTTTTCCCCATGGAATTGTAGTAACCTTATTTTTTATATCTATTCAAATGTCAAGTATTTTATTTTCTGTATTTTTCTATTTAGATATTTTTTATAATAGAAAATTTCAAACATATCTAAGTAAATCCTCATGTATTCATTATTCTACTTTAACCGTTATAAACTCATAGCCAGTATTGCTTCATCTCTACCCCTCCCCACCTTCCTCCCCCACTGAAATACTTTGAAGCAAATCCCAGATGTTTATAAGTAAGTTAGTGCATACCTCTAAAGGGTAAGGAATCTAAAAGAATAACCACAATACTATTATCATACCCGAAAAATGAACAACTTCTTAATTCCCAAGTAATGTTTTTTTTAAACCCGCATACTTTTTTTTAGAAGCTTTGAGTTAAGATCCACGATCCATAATTATAATTTGTTGCTTTGTCTTCTAAGTCTAATAATCTGTAGCTCCTGTTTTTTCCCCTTGAAATTCATTCACTGAAACAGAGTTCTTTATCCTGTAGAGTTTCTTACATTCTGAATTTTGTTGTTTGCACACCCATGGCATTATTTAATATAGTTCTCTGCTCTCTGTATCAACTGAAAACAGAGGTCTAAGGGTGTAACCAGATTCATATTTCACATTTGTCAAGAACATATAGATGGTGGACTCAGAGTGCCTTGAGGGCATTGGTAGGGGAAGACCACTGAAATAATAGAGGAGGGTGTGGGAAAGAGCATAACTTCTGTGACTAAAAGAATCAGCCCCAGTCCCGAAGCTGGGTTCAACAGAAGACTGGACTGTATTCTAGATAGTTTGGAATCTCTATTCAAGAAAAAAACCTTCCCTTTTGCTTTCTTTTAAATTTATTTTACCTTTTGCTTTATTTTACCCTGGCTTCTTAGTGAAATATCTTAAGTCATAATTCTTTTGTGTTTGATAAGGAAAAGGAATATCCTGATTTGTTGGAGTAAAAGGAAGGGTGTATGTTGCCAAGTCTGTAAGGGTAGCTGAGCTTTTGAAGTTTTTATAGTTGATTTATGTGCAGGATGAGGAGGAGAACATTTCTATGCATTTACCTGTCGGCAGGCAGCTTCTGGGCCCTGATGAGAGTCACTGAAAGGTGTTTGCCGTAAGAGAAGAATTTCCTTACCTTACGCCCTTCCTTTGAAGAGGGTCTTTAGAGCCAGAAAGCCTCCTCACAACTCACCTATGAGCAAGGTCAGTTGAATGTCTTTCATATTTATTTATTGTTGCACCTCTTCTTTCTCTTGTTTTTTTTTAACCTTGGAGCCAAGTCATTGTATTATTCACCATTATAGCAAATGCATATTAAAGGAAGATCTCCATGTTTACATCAGCTTTTCTACACATCATTTTTACATGTTTGAGGTGAGAATTTGTTGCTTTTATTGTGTTTTATGCCAGAGACCCAGGGAAGCCTAAATTCTGCCCTGCCAATCATCCCAACTCCTGAGGGCTCCCAAGGAAACAATGTGCTTAAGGAACAATAGCAAACTTTGCTGCAAAGTACCACTTTTGTTAGTATCTGAGATAAACAGGCAGTAACCTCCCTCATGGGATTACTGGTAAAAGTGAGCTGGAAAATCGTCTAGGCCTACCTTGCTTCCCTTTCTAAGCTCCAGATCTGAATTGAGGACCTGCGTGTGCATGCATGGTGTGTGTGTGTGGGGTGACTGGACCCCAAGTGGAGACTCCAACCAGACACAAATAGGACTAATCAGGGCCTGGCTGGAAGAAAGGGAACTTCATTTCTGGATGCTGACCTTTCAGGGCACACTGCCCTTCATAGGATGTGAGCCAGTGAACTTCTTGGGCTCTGACCAACCAGATTGGTAACACTTCTTCCTTGGGGGGAGATGGGGAGATAAAAATGTATTGGTTAAGGCAAAATCACGGGAGAAAGGCCTTAAGTATTTCTCCAGTATTTGCCATTAATGTTGTTTCATCATAATCTATAGCAGCATGTTTTTGAGTCATTATTTGAGACCAAGCACTGTGATATAGTCTGAGGATGAGTCCATTAAGATGAACAGGACCTTTTATAAAATTTAAAAAGGACTCAACAATCCTGTTTAGATTGGAGTTGGGGTGAACACAAAGCATGCAAAACAGAATATGGAAAGGATTATAATAGAATTTGAATTATATGGAATTCCAGAGAAGAGAAATTGTTTTGGCTGGGAAGATTCGAGGTGGCTTCATAAAGGACATCCTATTTTTTCTGATCCAACTAGAATTTTGATAGAAATGGGCAAGATGGGCCTGCTGAACAGCATGAGTAGGAACTGAAAAAGTTTGTGTTGGTAGACCGGTGAATTTCAAATGGCCTGGAGTCAAATGGCTAGTAATTGGAGGGGCCAGGTCTAGAACCAGTTGTTACAACTTTTTTTGTAGTGTTCTTTCGAGCTCTACCACACTTTGTGCAACATAGGACATTACTTTATTGGACAGGAAGCCAAATACAACTTTTCCAGCCATATACTCATTTTTATGAGGCTTTTCCTCTTTGTCTCCTTCTCCAGGTCGACTTGTAGAGAAACACATTCATAAGGATTATGATGGCCCATTCCCTTTATGTTCTTCATACCCAGAGAATCAACTCTAAATCTAGTCTCTTTTCTCTCATTACCACTATGTGGATGGCAGACCTTTCTTTCCTAAGGGGAAAAAAGAGAACACATAAGTGAGACAGTGTGGGGTCTGCTTAGGTGCTCAGATGAAACAGTCACCACAGGCATTCCAGTTATAAGTGTCTGCAGCCATGGAACTCCATCTTGCAGGGTCCAAGGCCAGGAGTGGGCAGTTTCAGGGAGAACGGTCAACCTGTGCTCAGAGCTAGGTTCAACCCAGAATGTGGGAGTGTTGGCTGAAGTGGGGGTGGAGTAGAGGAGTTTGGAAATTGGGATGCATAAGAGTTAAGGATTTGAGGAATATAGGGGTGAGGGGAGGCTTTCAGAGGGCATCCCATCCTTTGGCAAAGGCATCAGCACAAGTCACAGACTTCTATGAGTTGACCTTTTTCATGTGGAATGTGTGGCCTTTTCAGCCCCCTCAGGGGAGAATTTATCTCCTTCTTGGTAGTACGTGCAGGGGCCAATAAATTTTGTTATTTAAAACATTTTTTAAAATTTATTGATTTGAGAGAGAAAGAGGAAGGTGGGGGGAGAGAGCAAATTTTTGTTACAGTTATTTTTTTTTTAATTGATTTTTTTTTTTTTAAGAGAAAGGAAGAGAGAGGGAGAGAGAAATATTGATGTAAGAGTGAAACATTGATCAGCTGCCTCCTGCATGCCCACTACCAGGAATCAAGCCCACAGCCTGGGCAATGTACCCTGACTAGGAATTGAACTGGCAACCTTTCAGAGCACGGGATGATGTGCAACCACTGAGCCACACCAGCCAGGGCTTGTTCCAGTTATTGATGCAACCATTGGTTGAGTATTGAACCTACAACCTTGGGGTACTGGGATGACACTCTAACCAACTGAGTTACTGGGCCAGGGCCCCAAGAAATTTTGGACTTGCAAATAACTTGGGGAGCCATAGCTATGGTGATAACCCAGGATGTTGAGGTCTCTGTTCCTCCTGCCCTCTGTCTGTGCAGCTTGTCCCTGCGATTCATTCTCCTCTTCCCAGCACAAAGACCCTGAGGGGGGCACTCTGCTGTCACAGCCCACAGGATAAAGCCTTCACACTGAGCAGTTTCCTTAGAGCTCTCTTCATGTCCTTGTTTCTCAGGCAGTAGATGAAGGGGTTCAGCATGGGGGTAACGACCATATACATCACCGAGGCCAGAGAATCCTTGTCAGTTGAATGGGAAGATGAGGGATTCAGGTAGACCCCTGCAATGGTCCCATAGAAGAGGATGACTACAGTGAGATGGGAACCACAGGTGGAAAAGACCTTTTGTTTGCCCCTGGCAGATGGGACCTTGAGCACAGCAGACATAACGTGGATGTAGGAGATGAGAATGCCCAGGAAGGGGATGACCACGATCAAGCCACCCACCAGCAGAATCATAAGCTGGTTGAGTTGGGTGTTGGAACAGGAGAGCTGGAGCATGGGAACGAGGTCACAGAAGAAGTAAGGGATGACGACGTTGCTGGCACAGAACTCCAATCGAGCCATGAGGAGGGTGTGTAGCAGGGAGTGGAAGCTGGCGATGAGCCAGGAGCTCCCCAGCATCAAGGCACAGGTTTGCAGACTCATCATAGTGGAGTAGTGCAGCGGGTGGCAGATGGCCACATAGCGGTCATAGGCCATTGCCGTGAGAAGGAAGTTGTCCATGTTGGCAAGCAAAATGCAGAAGTAGATCTGGGCTAGGCAGCCACCATAGGAAATGAACTGAGTCTGCATCTGGATGTTCACAAGCATCTTGGGGACTGTGGCAGAGATGAAACAGATGTCCACCAGGGAGAGGTTACTGAGGAAGAAGTACATGGGCGTGTGGAGGTGGGAGTCTGAGCCAATGGCCAGGATGATGAGCAAGTTCCCTGCTGCCCCCATCAGGTACATGACCAGGAAGAGCCCGAAGATCAGCTCCTGCCTCTCCGGCTGGCTGGAGAGCCCCAGAAGGATGAACTCAGAGGTGCTCGTGTGGTTTTCTCTCTCCATGGTCAACTAGTCCTGCCGGGAGATCCAGTCCAAGCACAGGATACAGAGAGAGTGGAGGTACCCATGCCTCTCTCCTTCCCTCAAACAGTCCCTCAACTCACAGCTGGCCATATCTCTGTTTCCATGTGGTACAGACCCCAAAGGAAAGTCCTATGGCTATAACAGACTCCAAAGTCAGGGCTTTAATTATTTCACCACCAAAATGATGATGATTCTGAACCCATCAAAACCTGTCTCCCATCCTTCCAAGGAGAATCCTTGTGACATATGGCCAGGTACTCAGTGGTGGTAACAATGAGGGGAGTGCTGAGGGTGTTTTAGCCCCTTGGATTTCAATCATACTCTCATTTTTTGATATGAGCAACTTAATTTCTCAGTATTAAGTAAAAAGATATGGAAATATAGTTTCTTCCTAATCCTGATAAGATTGCCACCCGCAGGCCATTTCTCTACAGAATTCTGGAACCACAGTGGCACCTATGTAGAACCAGAGGGTATTATTTGTATATACCCTCCTTCCCCTTGAATATTTTGTCTCCCTACCCACAGAGAGCCTAGGGCTTAGGGTGCTCCAGCTGCCACTCACTGACTCTGGGCCATCTTGGTCCTGGTGATGATGCTGTGGGATGGAGTCCGTCAGGGCAAACCTGAGCAGAAGAGCCTGCTAACTGGGACAGCCCAGCCTGCCCTTTTGTTTGGGCTTACCTAGTAAGGGACTCTCCTCTGGAGGGTGAGAGTTGTCCCTGTAGATAACAGAGAAATTGCAGGTATAAGATTGCTCTGAGTAACAGTTGGAAGAAGGGCAACATAGAGACCCCTCTAAATTGGAGTTCAAAATAGTTCAGTGCAAGCTCAGATAAAGTTTTGTTAGATATAATATAAATTATTTTTCACTGCCCAAGACATAGTTGGGATTTGGGTCCTATGAGAATATAAATCAGAAAGAGGGAGGGGAAAAACCTGGAGTTAGTGTGCTAACTGGGGATGGGGGAAATCAGTCAGGAAAAGCTATGGCAGTGGAGAGATGGCCCATCTGGAAACTGGGCAGGGAGTAATAAGGGGGAAACTGTCTTAGGAGACTGACTTTGCCCACACTGCCTTTTTGCTGAAGTAGAGCCTGCTTGGAACAGAGGGATTTACGAGTGCAATTGGGGAGGGTATGAGGGGAGATGGAGATTTCTGCTACGCAGCAGGTCCCAATTGAGATCTTCGCCTGTATGAGAGCTGCTCCTTAGCATGGAAGATAAATGGCTCATTTTGAATTAATGCTTTACTGACTTGATTTCTTCCTCCTTTTCTAATCCTCACCCAAGGACACGCTTTCATTGATTTTAGAGAGGAAGGGGGAGGCAGAGTAAGGAGAGAAAAGGGGAGGGGAGGGGAGGGAGAGGGGGCAGGGAGGGAGAGACATTGTAACCTTGGTGTACAGGACAACACCCAACCAACTGAGCCACCTGGCTGGGGCAATTTGATTTTTTTTTTTTTTTTAAAGATTCAAGTGTTTTGTGATACAGAGGCAGAGATCTTTTGGGTAAAGGACAAATGTAAGATAGAAACACAGGAGCCTAAGAGGAGGGAAATCTATTTGGTGAAAAGTAAAAATGAAGGGAAACATTTAGTATGTTTCGAGGTCTTCATTTGATCAGTTCTGACTAAAAGGGCTCTTACTGGGTAATGTGAGAGAAAAGAACACAATAAAGAACATTTTTCTCAACACTAGGAAGCTTCCAGTCAAATGTAAAACTTTCACATAGGAAACAGCCGTTAGGCTAGGGAACTGACATTTATTGAGCACCTACTGTGTGTCATAATATGGGGTTAGGCAAGTGCATGTATTTAATCCTCACAACAACCGGTATAAGATAGGCATTATTATTCTTATTTTACAGATGAATAGACTGAGGCTGGGAGGGTTTAAATAATTTCCCCAAAGACATCCAGGTCAGTCTGATTTCAAAACTGTGCTCCTTCAATTTCACTGCTTTGACTGAAGAAGTACAAATGGGTAAACTTAAACTTGGAGTATCTGGGTAAATGGATCAGGGGTTCCTGGAGTGGCCAGTATTGGGACAGGAGAAAGGGAGTGCAGAGCAGGGATGTGATGAAGGAGGATCATCTGCACTGAGGAGAGAGGATTTGTTTGTGCGGCTGCACATATATTCTGAGACAGACCAAAGCTGTGAACAAGAGCTGCAGTGTGTACGGGCTGAAAGCTCTGCCCCTGCCTTGATTATATCCCTTTGAAACCAAGGTCACTCCATTCTCTCTTTTCCTTGCAGTCCTCCAGCTTCCCCAGAGACATGGGAGAAGAAAACTTTCTTGTTACTATTTCCCACCTGTTAGGAAAACACTCTTCCCAAGTACTCCCATTGCAAGACAACCAAAGCTAAGAGTCTAACTTAAAACCAAAAAGATTCTCCCCTGGCTTCTGCATCATTCCTGTCAGCATGCACACATCTCCCAGTTTAAAAAAATCTCCCTTCACCCACATTCCCCTCTAGCTGTTAGCTCATTTCTCTACTCCCCTTCCACAGATGTCCTCCAGATGTGGTCAGGACTTTCTCCAGCTCTTTCCACTCTCTCCTGAAGCTCCCTTTTCAGGCTTCCTCACCAAGTCATGAAGCTTTCCTTGTCAAGGCCACCACTGCTCCGTCTGAGGTTAGTTCTCAGGCTCCATTTTACTGAAACCAACAAGCCAGGGTTGTAATAGTTTGTCACTTCCCCCATCTTCAAACATGTTCTTCACTTGGTTTTGTCTTGGCATCTCCCCTACCTAAATGGTGACTTGCTTTTGGTATCCTTTGCTCATCCACTTTCTTCTGATCTCCAGCTGTTGAGATGCCCCATCGACTGACTCCTTGATTTACACTTGTTCCGTAAGTGGTCTCATCACTCCCAAAGCTTTAAATACCATACAAATTTCGATCTTCAGTTTGGGATTTTTCCCCTTGAACCTCAAACATATTTATGTCTAACTGCATACTCCCCTTATCCACTGGAATGTCTAACAGGCACCTCAAACTTTTCCAAAATTGTCTCAATGATCTTCCCATCCTCAAACCTGCTGCTTCCTCAGTCATCCCCATTCTATTCTAATTGCTCAAGCCAAAGCCTTGGCAGTATCCTTAACTCCTCTTTTTAAAGAGCTGTCCTCATCCAGTATATTGGCAAATCTTGTCATCTCTACCTTTGAAATACAGGTCCAGAATGGACTACTTTCTGTCTGTGTCAACTGCTACATTCATGGCCCAAACAATCATTATTTACCTCCAGATTATTGCAGTTAGTCTCTCAAATGGGATCCCTGTTTATATCTTGCCCTACCCCCAACAGTTTCTACACAGCAACCAGAGTGAACATTAAGAAATGTAAGTCAGACCATGATAACTCTGTTCAAAATCCTCTAAAGGCTTCTCATCTCACTCAGAACAAAACTCAATGTCCTTGCCAAATTCTACAGGGCAATGCAGGACTCAGACCTCTCCCCTCTCCCTGCTCTCACTCCTTCTATTGCTCCCTCACTGTCTGTATGTTGACCACAATGGCCTCCTCACTGTTTCTGGACACATCAATCATGTTCCTACTGCAGAACCTTTTAACTTGTTACCCATGTGCTTGGAATTCTCTTCCCTTTGCTTCATTCTGATTTCTGCTCAAATGTCATCTCTGCTAAGGGTTCCCCCCCTAGCACCTATCTAAAACAGTACTCCTGTCTCTGTCCCCCTACTTTATTTTGCTTTGTTTTTTTTCTAATCATCTATCAATCTCTATCATCTATCTATCTATTTATCTATCATCTATCTATCTGTCAATCATCTGTCATCTATTCTTCTGTTTCTCTAGAATATAAACTCATTAGAACAGGAACTTTATTTTTATGTATTACTGTATTCCCAGTTTCTAGAACCATGCCTGGACTATAGAAGAAACTCGGTGTTTTTATGCCATTGTTGTTGAATTAATGGATAACTGTTCTTAATGTTCCTCTGTGTGACCTGATGTCTTTGAGACTGAGAGATACTTTTGGGAATATTTTATATATTTGTGAGTAGCCAAAGGTGCAAAAAGAATTAAAGTATGTAAATATAATACCAAAAGTTCTAAAATAGTTTTTAAAAGGGCATCTGACTCCAATGAAGAAAATCATCTGACTTTCCAAGAACCAATAATTAGTTTAGTAATAAAAATTTTAAAAACAAAGAGCCCGGCCGGGCGTGGCCCAGCAGTTGAGCGTGGGCCTAGGATCCAGGGGATCGCGGTTCGATTCCTGGTCAGGGCACATGCCCTGGTTGCAGGCTGGATCCCCAGTCGGGGGCGCGCAGGAGGCAGCCGATCAATGACTCATCTCTCTCTCTCTCCCTCTCCCTCCCTCTCTCTGAAATCAATAAAGATAAATAAAAGAAATAAAAAATAAAAACAAAATCCTGACATAGTAATAATCTATAAAATGGATAGAGTAATAATATTTGCTTAACAGGGTTGTTGTGAGGATTAGAACAGTGCATTCATTGTACATAGTAAGCACCCAGTTAACTTGGCTATTATTAGTTTAAAATTCATTTTTAGAGGCAAATATGATTTTAAACCCAAACTAAACAAAGACAATGAAAGGAATATTTTAGAGCAATTTCATTTATAGACATAGATGCAAATGCCCCAAATAAAATATCTGCAAACTAAAAAAGCAACACATTAAAACAATTAGCTATTAAACTCAAAGAAATCTATTAACTTAGTTTATCAGAAACAAAATTTCAAAATAATGTAATTAGATCTAGATAAAGCATCCAGATAAATTTATCATCACTTTATAGATTAAAACTCTGAAAAGATTAGGTGTATTTTTCTTAATATGTTAAACTGTGTATTTAAAAAACAAGAGTCAGCGTCATGTTTATTGAAGACTTGAAAACTTTTTCCCTAAAAAAAAAGAACAAGATATGAGTGTTCTCTGTTATCATTCCTTATTCACTAGATATGCTGTTAATGGCTACCTGAAAAGAAAAAAGAAATAAAAACATAGCTTTATGCAAAGTGTCTTATAGCTAAGCTATTAAAATAAATGAAGTCATTGCTAAAAATAAAGTTAGGTGGGCAAAGTTTGCAGGCTATCAGTA